TAATGATAATAATAATAATAATAATAATAATAATAATAATAATAATAATAATAATAATAATAATAATAATAATAAACAGAGAGAGTGTAGACATAGAGCGGTTTCGACACGACCTAACTTGAGGGGATAGGCTTAATGATGATGATGATGATGATGATGATGATGATGATGATGATGATGATGATGATGATTATGATCTTGATGATGATATATTGAGAGCAGTGTCGCGAGTATGTTAATATCTACCTACCGGTAGTCACTAAGGAGCTCGGTGGCACTTTCGTCGCAGTTGTAGATTCTGACTCTGTTGAAAATGAATATTATAACACATTATAAAAACATTGACCAAAAAATGTTTGGAGGAAATAACGGTGGTTCTGTCGTCAACTCTGTTGAAAAAAACCAAATCTTTTAATTTAATTCAACATAAAACATTGAAAAAATAATAATAACAATAAAGTAGTAGTAGGGATGAAGGGCGATGCCCGAAAACGTTTGTGTTTTTTACCATTAAAAGTTACGGCTAAAGGCCAACTCAGACAGCGTCGGCCGACGCAGCCCGACCCGATTTATCGTCGGGGACAGTCTTGAGCAGTCGTGAGAAATATTAAACATGTTTAATATTCTACGACGCGACTGCCCCCGACGCACACCATCGCGTCTGCGTTTAACTCACACAGACCCGACGCGACAACAAATCGCGTCGGGCTGCGTCGGCCGACACTGTCTGAGTTGGCCTTTAGTTGGAAGTGGCAGAGATGAGATGTCTTCAAACAATTATGGGTTGAAATACAGGATAGAATACAGAAAGGAAGATATAAGGCAGGAAATATGTTGTGAATTTGAGAGAAAATATAAGAGAAATTAGATTGAGGTGGTACGGACACATTAAGAGAAGTAAGAGGACGATTTGATAAGATGAGTAGCGCAAAGAAATGGGCCACCGAATGTGTCCGGTAGTGCTTGATCTAAGGAGAGTTAGTGACAAGAGAGAGTGTAGACCTAGAGCAGTTTCGACACGACCTAACTTGAGGGGATAGGCTTAATGATGATGATGATGATAATTTGTGGTCGGTGGCACGCCTGTTGTAGATGTTATAGCACTTGTAAGACTTGTAACACAAACAAATATATTAAAAGTATGTGTCGCGAGGATGATATTATTTACCTACCTGTAGTCACTCCGGAGCTCGGTGGCACTTTCGTCGCTGTTGTAAATTTTGACTCTGCTGAAAATGAATAATATTATAACATATTATGAAAACATTGACCAACAAATGTTTGAAGAAAATAACAGTGGTTCTGTCGTCGACTCTGTTTGAGTACATATTGAGGTGGTACGGACACATTGAGAGAAGTAAGAGGACGATTTGATAAGATGGGTAGCGGCGCACGAAGAAATGCGCCAATCATGGGTCGATGAATGTGTCCGGTAGTGCTTGATCTAAGGAGGGTTGGTGAGAGGGAAGAGTGTAGACATAGAGCGGTTTCGACACGACCTAACTTAAAGGGATAGGTTGATTGAGGATGATGATAATGATGATGATGATGATGATGATGATGATGATGATCTTGATGATGCTATATTGAGAGCAGTGTCGCGAGGATGATAATATCTACCTATCGGTAGTCACTAAGGAGCTAGGTGGCACTTTCGTCGCTGTTGTAGATTCTGACTCTGTTGAAAATGAATATTATAACACATTATAAAAACATTGACCAAAAATATTTAAAGGAAATAACGGTGGTTCTGTCGTCAACTCTATTGAAAAAAACCAAATCTTTTAATTTAATTCAACATAAAACATTGAAAAATTAATAATAATAATAAAGTAGTAGTAGGGATGAAGGGCGATGCCCGAAAACGTTTGTGTTTTTTTACCATTAAAAGTTACGGCTACTCTACACTTTTGCTCTATGCGTTTTATTTACTATTTTATTGAAGCCACATAGCTTGTATTCCACTATTTGCATTCACACCTGGGCTGTGTTATATATATTGCCTTGGTTTGGCTCTGTAATCATTAGTGGTCGTGGGACATAGTTTGGGCCCTACCTAAGCTGGTCGAACGTTTCGTTTGGGTCTACAAGGGGTCAGATATCCCCGACGAAAGCAAAGCGGTCGTGGTATATAGGCATATAAACAAGAATGTATATAAGTTGGAAGTGGCAGAGATGAGATGTCTGTAAACAATTATGGGTTAAAATACAGGATAGAATACAGAAACGAAGATATAAGGCAGGAAATAAGTTGTGAATTTGAGAGAAAAGATAAGAGAAATTAGATTGAGGTGGTACGGACACATTAAGAGAAGTAAGAGGACGATTTGATAAGATGAGTAGCGGCGCACGAAGAAATGGGCCAATGAATGTGTCCGGTAGTGCTTTGATCTAAGGAGAGTTAGTGACAAGAGAGAGTGTAGACATAGACCGGTTTCGACACGACCTAACTTGAGGGGATAGGCTTAATGATGATGATGATGATGATGATGATGATGATGATGCTCCTGCTGATGATGATGATGATGATGATGATGATGATGATGATGATGATGATGATGATGATTTGATAAGATGAGTAGCGGCGCACGAAGAAATGGGCCACTGAATGTGTCCGGTAGTGCTGGATCTAAGGAGAATTGGTGACAGAGAAAGTGTAGACCTAGATCGGTTTCGACACGACCTAACTTGAGGGGATAGGCTTAATGATGATGATGATGATGATGATGATGATGATGATGATGATGGTGATGATAATTTGTGGTCGGTGGCACGCCTGTTGTAGATGTTATAGCACTTGTAAGACTTGTAACACAAAAAAATATATATATTGAGAGTATGTGTCGCGAGGATGATGATATCTACCTACCTGTTGTCACTCCGGAGCTCGGTGGCACTTTCGTCGCTGTTGTAGATTTTGACTCTGCTGAAAATGAATAATATAACATATTATGAAATCATTGACCAAAAAATGTTTGAAGAAAATAACAGTGGCTCTGTCGTCGACTCTGTTGGAAAAACCTAATCTTTTAATTTAATTGAACATAAAACATTGAAAAAATAATAATAACAATAAAGTAATAGCAGTATAAAATATATATATTCCATGTTACTTTTTCCTTGATTACAAATGATTCTTCTTTCTATTTTTTGGTGTGGTAAACTGTATTTTTATATAATTTTTGTCGTATATATTATTTGCAATATTCTTTAAAAAAACGGCAGTTTTAACATTATCATTAATTCGGTTTATATTTTATGTTATAATGTCCATGTAAAAAGAAAGATTATAATATATTTATATAGTTTTAAGATAGCATATCTATAATACTGATAAATACTCTAAAAGGGTTACAAAATAAATTTCAATTTATCAAAAGTACTAAGCTTAGGAGATACCAAAATCAACTAAAAATATGGTTTAAAAGCAGGAAAGATTATGGATTTCAGCAGATAATAATGAAAAAGTTTATGATAATGTTGATGTTGTTGTTGAGATCTTGTTGCAGGATTACCAAAAAGTAAAATTAATTACTGTCTGAGTGGCTCTCCAAGCAATGGGGGAAACATGGACTAGCAGTATAAATACATTATAAAAAATATATAAATATATATAAGTGTAAAAATACAAAAATAATTAACAATTAGAATATGTTCATTACTTATATTATTATTTTTATTATTACTATTACTATTATTATTATTATTACTATTATTATTATTATTATTATAACAACAATAATAATAACTACAATAATTTTAATTACAATTACCAGCATAATAATTATTATAAATATTAAACAATCACGCAAACAAATAAAAAAAACACACACAAAAATTGATCAGAAATAGGAAAACACCCACCCCCTAGCCCTGCCCCAACTTCACAAACCAACAAACACCAAAAAGAGAAAATTAAGTAATTAGAGTTCACTTTTAGCTTGACTTGGGCATAGGCATATCTGAAATTCTCTCAGTTGTAAAAATGTTCTGTTGTAGATGCTCAGTTGTAAAAATGTTCTGTTGTAGATGTTATAGCACTTGTAAGACTTGTAACACAAAAAAAAATATATATTGAGAGTATGTGTCGCGAGGATGATGACATCTACCTACCTGTTGTCACTCCGGAGCTCGGTTGCACTTTCGTCGCTGTAGTAGATTTTGACTCTGCTGAAAGTGAATAATATAACATATTATGAAAACATTGACCAAAAGATGTTTGAAGAAAATAACAATGGCTCTGTCGTCGACTCTGTTGGAAAAAACATAATCTTTTAATTTAATTCAACATAAAACATTGAAAAAAAAAATTATAACAATAAAGTAATAGCCGTATAAAATATATATATTCCATGTTACTTTTTCCTTGATTGCAAATTATTCTTCTTTCTATTTTTCAGTGTGGTAAACTGTATTTTTATATAATTTTTGTCGTATATATTATTTGCAATATTCTTTGAAAAAAACACGGCAGTCTTAACATTATCCTTAATTCGGTTTATATTTTTTGTTATAATGTCCATGTAAAAAGAAAGATTATAATGTGTTTATATAGTTTTAAGATAGCATATCTATAATACAGATAAATACTCTAAAAGGGTTACAAAATAAATTTTAATTTTATCAAGAGTACTAAGCTTAAGAGATACCAAAATCAAATAAAAATTTGGTTTAAAAGCAGGAAAGATTATGGATTTCAACAGATAATAATGAAAAAGTTTATGATAATGTTGATGTTGTTGTTGATAATAATAATAATAATAATAATATTAATAATGATAATGATAAATACGATGACAATAATAATGATAAGGATAATAATACAACAAACATTTGCAAGTGAGTACGGTATATACGGTACGTTTTGTGTTCATACGTGAATGTGTATATACGTACGCCTTATTATGTATAATGCATCAAATTATAATTATAAATACATATAAATAAACAGGCACATAAACAAGAGTGTAAAGAAGTTGGAAGTGGCAGAGATAAGATGTCTGCAAACAATTATAAGTTTAAAATCCAGGATATAATTATACACAAACGAAGATATAAGGCAGGAAATAA